TTGAGACCGCACTGTGCATCCTCGCCGCCGTTGAGGCCATATGGACGGTATACACGTCGCTCGCTGAGGATCGAGACCTGAAGAGGGATGCGGAACTCGATATCCCGAATGACGCCGTCGCCACCGCGGTGCTGGCCCTTGCCGCCTGACCCTTCTCGAATGGAAAACTCGCGCAGAATAACGGGATATCTGCGCTCAAAGATTTCAGAGTCGGTGATTCTTGTATTGGTCATGTGGACGTGAACGCCGCTGGTTCCCACCCAATCGGGACCGGCGCCGCTTCCCCCAGCAATCGTTTCGTAGTAGCCGAAGCCCTTGACCGCGTCCCTGCCATACTGGTTGCCGCCGAAGCCGAACGTGAGGTTGTTGCAGCACCCCTGGCTGGCGGCGCACGCCTCGAATGCCTTGAACACCACGTCTGTGATGCGCTGGCTGGTGAGTACGTTGCCCCCCACCACGGCCGCGCCGGCGGACGGGGAGAGGATGGACTTTGGTGGGATCTTGACGTGGATGGGCTTCAGGCAGCCTTGGTTGAGCGGGATATCCTCCGAGATGAGACATCGCAGGCAGTAGATGATGGCGCTATAGGTGATGGCTTCCGGGGCGTTAATGTTGCCGTATACTTCCGGGCCGGTGCCCTCAAAGTCAAACTCTGCCTCTCCCTTTTCGGGATCAATGGTGACCTTGAGTTGGATGGGGGATCCGTCGTCCATGTGATCAATGGCGGACAACTCCTTGCCCTCGAATCTCTTGTGGACATCCTTAAGGAGTCGTCTTACGCACTGCTCGGCATTCTCCTGGATGTGGACCATGTAGAACTGCACCGTCTCCTCGCCGTATTCTTCTATCAGTGTTTCGATCAGGGAGATGCCCTTTTGGTTGGCTGACACTTGGGCGCGCAGATCGTTGATGTTGTCGGCGAGGCAGCGCGTGCCACTGCATCCGGGGTACTGGGCTGGCTCGTCGTAGAATAGCTCGACAACGCGCTTCTCATCGAACTTGCCGCCGCTGACGAGCTTTTCACTTCGGATTGATGCGCCCTCTTGGAAGAGTTCGCGGGAGTGGGGGGCATACTCCCTGCGCTGATGCCACCAATGTCTGCGTGGTGAGCCCGTGAGGCGGCGTAGAAGAGAATGTTCTCCCCCTTGGCATCGAACGCGGGCATCAGGAGTGTCACGTCGGGGAGATGGGTGCCTCCGTACGAGGGATGGTTGGAGATGATGACATCGCCCTTTTGCAGTCTTCCCTTCCAGATTTCAGCCTGCCTGCGAACGCAGGTCGACATGGAGCCGAGATGTACGGGTAAATGGGGGGCGTTGGCGACGAGACCGCCCGTGGCGTCGAATATGGCGCAGGAAAAGTCGAGACGCTCCTTGACGTTTGTGCTGACGCTGGTCTTTTGGAGGGCCCGGCCCATTTGCTCGGCGATGGCCATGAAGCGATGGCCAAAGATGCTGAGCATGATGGGATCGACTTCTCGGTCGGCGCCTTCTGCGTGTGCTCTGCTTATTGTCAGTATGTAAAATCTCGATGGGGGGGGTTTGTAGTTCAAACTTACTCATCCTTAGAGCCTTGCTTGTCAATCTCCAATACGACGTGTGTTCCGGTAACGAGAGCCTTTGTCTGCGGCGTGACGACAATGGTCTGTGTTCCATCCGCAAGCATCGCCGGTCCGCTGATAACATCTCCCTCACTCAAGTCCTCGAGCTTATATATCGGAGTCTCTAATCTGCCGCCCTCAAAGTACACTTCCTGCTCGCCGTGCTGGCTCTTGGTAGAGACGTCCTTGCGCTGGATGACCTTTAACTGCTCATCGACGGTCTTTTCCCTGTGGCGGAAGCTCTTTCCGATACCGCGGACACGAACGTCGTCTATGATGATGTCTCGCTCATCTAGAGTGAAACCGAATTCGTAGCGGTGGTGCTTGACAAACGCCTTGCCAAACTCCCAGTCGTTGCCGTCAAAGTTGGCTTTTGCTTCTTCCTCGCTGGGCTTGATGATCATGAGAGCAGATTCGGTGCCGCGATACCGCATGTTGAGGTACTCTTCAAACACAATCTCCTCCTCCCCAAAGCCCTGGTCCTTGAGCGCGGCCCGGGATTTCTCTTTTAGTTTGTCCATTTTGGCTTGCAGTTCGGAAACGACCTTGCCATCGTCTTTCCAAATGGAGGAGTCGGGCTCCTGACGCTCGTCCACGACGTCGGCAAGGGCCATGCCGTAGGCGGAGAGGACGGAGGAGTAGCGATGGATGAGGACCTGGTGGATGCCGAGGGAGGAGGCGATGGCGATGGCGTGTTGGCCCCCGCGCCGCCAAAGGTTGCGAGCCGGTGCTTGGAAGTGTCGTGGCCTTTGGCTTCGGTGATGGATCGAATAGGTCTTGTCATGGTTTCGTTGGCCACGGTCAAGAAGCCATATGCTACTTCGTCTACGGACAAGTTCTTTCCGGTTTCCTGATTCACCTGGTCGGTAAGTTCCTGCAATACCTTTTTGCTAGCCTCAAGATCAAGCCCCTCGTCTTCGTTCTTTCCAAAGATCTTGGGGAAGAACTCGGGGAGCAGGCGGCCTAGATAGAGATTGGCGTCGGTGACGGTCGCAGGGCCGCCCTTGCGGTAGCAGGCTGGACCGGGATGGGCTCCGGCAGACTCGGGTCCGACGACAAAGAGGCCGTTGCGGAAGAATAGCCTGGAGCCACCGCCTGCTGCGACGGTGTTGATGTCTAGCTGTGGAGATTGGATGGTGACGCCGGCGGTGGTGGTTTCGAAGACGTGCTCGTAGCGACCTTCGCCGTAACGAGAGACGTCTGTACTTGTGCCGCCCTGCGAATATAACGTTAGATGAATGATGCTACCCGTTTTTAGTAAATCTAGGGGGTAAGACTGACCATGTCAAATCCAATAACTGGAATCTTGGTCTTGTCATCGTACGATGTAATGGCATATCCAACCACACCACCCGCAGGACCGGACAATATGGCCTTGAGGCCTGTGAATTTGTCTACGTCGACGAGCCCACCATCACTCTGCATGAACTCGCATCGAGCGCCCTTTGGTCCCTTTTCATGCTTGACGCTTTGTGTGCCAAGACCGCCCTCGAAGCCGGCCTGGAAACCATCAATGTACTTTCTGATGGCCGGTGTGAGATAGGCATCCGCGCAGACAGAGGTAGCGCGAGATACCAATTTTACCATGGGCATGAGCTCGTGGCTTAGCGAAATGTGCTGAAAGCCAATTTCCCTTGCGATTGTGCCGACGAGAGCCTCGTGGTCTGGGAATGTGTAGCCGTGCATGAGACATACGGCGATGCTCCTGATTCCCGAGTCGTACACGTCTTGTAGCTTTTGACGGATGGATTCGTGCTCTGGTCGTTTTAGGATCCGTACGGTTTCTCCTGATAGGCCGCGAACGAGATACTTGCCCTCTGCCTCTTTGGTGCCCACCTGAGCGTCCGCCTCGGTGACCGTCCTCTCCGGATCCTCTGCGTAGTCTTCCAGGGTGACGCGCTCGTCAATCTCCACAACCTGCTCGTACAGCACATCCGGTTTCCTGATGGCCAGGTCGAAGATCCTAGGCCTGGACTGATTCCCAATGGTGAGGCAGTCCCCGAACCCCTTCGTCACCACCATAGCGATCTTCTCACCCTTACGCTCCAGCAGGGCGTTAGTAGCGACGGTAGTGCCCATGCGGATGGAGTCGATCTGCGAGGTGTCCAGGGCCTGGCCGCGGGGGATATCGCGGCCGAGGAAGTGGGACATGATGCGACGGATGCCTTCTAGGGGCGCGTCCTGGTAGTTTGCGGGGTCCTCGGAGAGGAGCTTGATGATGATTTCGGAGCCGTTGAGTTCGCCTACGCAGTCAGTGAAGGTACCGCCGCGGTCGATGGCTATGCGGATGCCGCGATCTTTTGAAGAGGCCATGGTTTTAGGGGTGGTGAGATGTGGTGAGGGGGATGGATGATGATATGAAGATGAAGCTCAGAAGGGTAGTGAGAGAGTATATGCAGAGTCTATGAGAATTACTCTCAAAAACGGGAAGTAAATATGAATGTAAAGATGGATATGAGTATCCAATGTATAAGTGTATGAGTGCAAGTGAAGCTCATCCACTGGTGGGTGATGTTCAATGATATATACATGATGGCATTGATCGCCTGGGGCCAATTATTAAGTCACCTTGTATGAGAAGAACCGGTGGTGGGGTTGATCCATGAGCGATGGCGGGGTTCCACCTCCGAACCACATTCTTGGGGGGTCTTGGAAGGGCTTTTTAGTGATATTCTAAGGTAATACTTTCTTCTCTCTCTCTTTTTGTAAGTAGCTGAATAATATTATTTACTTACTTTTATCTTACTGGAGCTTAGCTCTATGCCGGTGTCGGCCTTTAGGGATTTATTTATTTTCATATGGTAAAAAAGAAAAGAAGTTGCTGAGTATGCTCTCTGTTCGCCTCGCTGTGGTTATGTAATTTGACCCAGACATACCCTAGAATGAAGCTAGAGAGGGAGTGTTTGTCGGACATCCACCAAGAACAAGGCAGAATTGACGAGAATGCAAACCTGGAATTGTGTTTATGATCTCGTCAAAACCCAAAAATAGATGTGTGAATGCTAAATTATTCGCAAGTTGGCATTACGTATTATAAGAACAACTCCAACTTGCATCTATTATCCTGTCTACAAAGTGTATCAAGACCTCTTTTCTACATCTTATCTAACTTGTGCCCCCTCATTCATCCATATCACAACCAAGCTTCTTGTCTATGTTGAAGCCTCAAGAAGCAACTCCGGATCTCGCTGATCCATCAATCCGGCCGTGTGGCTCAATGGCAGAGCGTCTGACTACGATTAAGTACATCAGGAGGTTGCAGGTTCGACCCCTGTCTCGGTCAATCTTTTTGTCGTCTTTCCTAGAGACAGACACTAATTTTTTCTTTTCTGGTTCTTCTCCACTGGATGCACTCACAGTCATCATTTCGTCCATCCAACTCAACAACCAATCAGAAAAAGGCACTTTGGCCGAGTGGTCTAAGGCGCCGTGTTCAGGTTCTGTAGGAAGCAATTCCCAACATTCCCCGTTTCGCGGTCTAGTAATAGGCGTGGGTTCGAATCCCACAGGTGTCACTGACTTATCTTTTTTGTCCTTTTTGCTCTATTTGACAATTTGTGGTTATGCTTCTCAAGTGTGCGAAATGTAATGTAAATGTCATTTTATTCATAGTGAATGATTATTTTATAATTCTTAAAAAAAAAAAAAAGTCGCCTACATATGACAGGTGCTACCCAAATAATAAACTCCTTTCGCCTGATATCAACTTGCCCGAGGAAGATGGCAAATTTTGTAAAACATGCAACAAACAAGTCTCAGATGCTCCATCCCTATAACCTCTTTCTCCTCTTCCTCGGTGCGGGTTTCTTCGCCTCTACCACCTCCTTCTTAATCGCAGTCGCATTAAGAGGTTCAGTCGACACGGCCTGTTGTCTCTTTGGCCGCCCCCTTCGCCTCGGCTGCACCCTCCGCGTCGGCACCGTCTCATTCGCATCGCTCTCCTCCTCTGCGACGTAGTTGTACACCCCTCCTTCTGGCACCTCTTCGTCCCCTTTCTTATCCCCCAGCGCTTCAATAGTTTCCTTGGCGAGCTTGTGTTTTATCCCTCCCGCGTCCGAGGTGAGGCGGGCGTCATCGCCGGGGGCGGCGTGGTTGGCTTCGCAGGCCCAGCTGGTTGCGCCCCTTTCTACGTGGTGGGTATGTAGCAGGGATTTGAGTTCATGGGATATGTCGTAGGCGTGCTGCTGGCAGTTGTGCAGCTGCGTCCAGCCCTTTTTGAACTCGGTGTAAGACGTCCCTAGGTTCGTCGACGTGATGGGGTACTGGTGATACTGGACGGCCCCGTCGTCCGACTTGGTGGCATAATGCGCAAAGAAGTTGATGGTGGCCCCGTCAGTGGTAAAGGTGAAGATGAACGACTCACCCTCGTTGTCCGGGTAGGCGATGTGCTCCAGGGCGTGGTTCCTGGCGTAGACGAGGGCGGCGCCGGCGTGCGCGTTGTGGATCTGGGCCGTCTCCTGGGACTGGCTGATGCCGTAGAACTCGCCCGCGATGTGCGCTAGAGCGATGGACTGGGTGTGGTTCTTGAACAGCACAGCGCCGGGGATGTATTCGATGCGCACCGAGTCGAACTCGTGGACCTCGATGCCCTGGACAAAGTCTGGGCAAGGCACGGAGAGCCCGGCGTTGAAGGGGGCCCTTAGGGGGATCATGTCAAAGTCCCGGCACGTGGCGGTTCGATACTCGGGGCTGGTCGGGAACCTCCACATCAGCCATAGGATCTCCCACACCAGCGTCTCCGGGTTCTTGGCGGCGGAGAGGTTCTTCTTGTAGCACGTGTACTCCTGGTCGGTGGGAAGGCGACCGGGGGCTTGCACTTGAGGACCTTCTCCAGATCCTTTAGGTTGCTCGGTGGCTTGGAGTGAACGGGACCGAGGACGCCGTTTTGATACAGTTTAAAGGGAAATTCTGCTGCCGAGTGGCTCAACGCCGAGTCTGGGTGCGAGTCTTCCACCGAGGACTCCCAGGGGAACGACACCTTTCTCTTCTTCCAGTTTGTCCTCTCGTTGACGAAATTTAGGTTCTCCTCTGTGAGCGGCAGCCTCTCCGATTCGGCATCGTGGGGTAGGTTGTTGTTCCTGTTGGCTTCCTCTAACAGAGGCCACCAGGGGGCGAACTTCTCGGGCCCCGTGCCTAGCTGGACGTCTTCCTTTCGCGCGCTGTGCTTCTGCTGCTCTTCGGCTACGGGGTCGGCTCTGTTGAATAGGCCGTATAATCGAGGCATCTTGGGGGGGGGGGGGTTATCGGCTATTGTGCGTCTCGGTGCGAGAGAAGTGGAGAGAGGAGTTTCTTGCAAAACCCGGGAGCATTTGAGAATGGAAAAGAGTCTCCTTGAAGAAAAAACAGCGAGTAGAATGATTATATCGAAAGGAAGATGTTCCAACAAAGCTGTTTCTTTTCTTTTCTCTTTCAGATGAACGCTCAGCAGCCGCTCAGGAGTTGACAATGAGCTTTCTCTTTGTCCTTGAGGTGCATTGAGTAGTTACTTTGGCCCTGCCGCACAAACCCGTCTTGTTTCGAGTTCCCTTTGAGCATCTTGTTTCATTGTTCCAGGAAAGCTATGACTATCTTCAGCAAAGTTTTATTATAGGGCATCATTATGTGGAGTGTATTTATAACTTTGCCCATCCTAGTAATTTGCAATGATTGAAGAGATAAATCTGGTTCCATCAAAGGAGCTTTTCTCGAGTGAGGCTCATTGGGAGACCAACTGCATGACGCAGATGCCATATTTAGATGCTTGACTACCTACAAGTCGCATTCTTTTAGCATTCCTTGATTGAGATATTAGAGTGCATGTCTAATTGACTCTCATTGTGATGCATATGAGCCAGCCATCATTTGCTGCCCGCCTTGATTAAAGGTGACTTATAACACCAAGTAACAACCAAGAGATGTCGCATCGAGACGTCGCCAGTCAATGTACTACATACATTTACTTATGTCAGCCAATTATCATCTCTCTTTTTCTTCATCTTTTTTTCTTTTTTCTTCTCTTTTTCTTCTCTTTCTCTCTCTCTCGCTCTTCTTTTCTTTCTCTCTTTCTTATTTTAAATTTTTTTTTAAAATTTTTGTAGTATGACCAAAAGAAGTTGGACAAACAAAGAACCCCCCAACCTATAATGAAAGCCTCACCAATATCCTCACCACCATCATCAAAACACCCTCCCAAAACAGTAAAAAAAAATGACGCGACATTTTTCCTCAGGCCATCGATACTTTCCACTCAAGTGACGCCATTTTTTTTTCCTTTTTTGCGGCACTGGAGAAGCCGTGTTTGGTGTTGCGACGACCAAAAACCGTTGCACGAGTGACAAGGCAGTTCGCCTCTTTTTCTTTTGCCACAACCGGGCCGGGGAATTAACAAAACATGAAAAAGTCATGACCTCATTGTTTCGTTCAAGCCCAGACAACAAGTCCTACCTTCAACCCCCCCCCCCAACTCTCCTCAACAACTCCTCTATAGTGAAAGCTACGGATGCGGTGCTTGGGGTCTGGGTACACCAAGTGCCAAAAACCAAAAACAACCCGTTTTTAGTGCATGGGAAGGTTCCCGTGTAAAAGAAGAGGGGGGGAAGGCGTTGTCGTTTTTTCTTGGCTGACCCGTTTTTGGTTTGTCAAACCCGGCTTCTGGAGGTATCAGGTATATGGCTGGAATGTAGGTTGCCGTCACTCTCCATCCCATGCCCATGACGAGACAAGAAAGGGACTGCCGTTTATGATGTGATGCCCAGATATTCAAACAAATTTGTTCTTGGTCTTGTTCTTGGCAGGTCTATAAAGTAGACTTGCTTGTACGCATGAAGATCTTGTTTCTCTCTCATTAGGTCTCTTACTTCTTCCTTCTTCTTCTTCTGCCAAAAACCCCAGAGCAGCTTACACCAAGAACACACACAATTGCACTACGCTCTCTTCACCGTCGTAAAACCCAACCCAAAGTGACCATCACCATGGCTCTAGCCCGCGTCGTGAGCCTCATCCTCCGAGCCGCAGAGCTCGTCTTCGCCGCCATCGTGGCCGGCGTCACGGGCGACTATCTGCACAAGTTCCATCACGCCTCGTCCTGGTCCCTCGGCCGGTTCATCTACACAGAGGTCATAGCCGCGCTGTCCATATTCCTCGCTCTCATATGGCTGATACCGTTTGCCTGGTCGCTGGTCCATTGGCCGGTGGACATTGTCATCAGCATCTGCTGGTGGGTGGCCTTTGGTCTTCTCGTCAATGTGAGCTCAACATTTCATCCATCCCTCTTATTCCTGTTCTTTTACCATCTATCTATATGCATGCACGCTAACGTAAAACTTTGTGCAGTGGTCGCATGGTAGCTGCGGCCGCACCTTTGACTGGGGCAACGTCTCGCCCTGGGGAAATTTTTGCGGGAGGTTCAAAGCCAACGAGGCATTTGCTTTCCTCTCTGCCGTGCTCTGGCTCGTGTCTGCCTTGGTGGGAATCTTTTGGGTGAGCCGTCATGAGCGCCGTACCAGGGTTGATGGTGCTCGTCCCGGTCGTCGCGGCTGGTATGGTCGAAGCCAGGTCTGAGATGCTTTATAAAGGAAGCAACACTCAATACAATCGGTTTAACTGTTAAAAGATACACGAATCTAGTTACAATATGAGACGGAAGGAATCAAGGTGGATGATGGTAGTTGAAGGGGAAAAGGGGAAGCAACGTCAAGAGTCTCTTTTGTGTGTTCAACTTGCTTCACGATCATGTTTCCCAACGATCAAATAGTATAATACCCAGCTTAGCTATCATAATGATCAGGACATTCCATTTGTCGTATTCACCTTTCATATCTGTCCACAAATTATACCTCAAATGATCATGAGATACCATTTGCCGTATTCACATTCCATAGATAGATGCCCATAAATTATGCTTCAAAACTGTGACTCAATGTGAAGCCATGGTACGTGATGTCCGCATCGAGAACCTCAACCAAAGCTTGCCATGACCCATGACATTCCAGATACCAAGCCTCCAAGTTCTCAATACAACTCGTCCCATAAAGCTACAAAACCATCTCGTAGCCATACCTTTTTTCACCTCTCATTCCAAAGCCATCAGAAGGTACCGTCAAATCAACTCCATTTCTTCCCAGCTAGAGCTTCTTCCCCAATCGAGATCCCCGCCTCGTATATGGCGTCAAGCCCGGGGGCACTCCTTTACGACCCAACCCTGTCGATCCTCCGTCATCCTTCCTCTCCATGAACAATATCCTTTCTCCCCACAATTTCCATTTTCCATGTAAAAAAATAAAAAAATAAAAAGATGATCCAATCTGTCTTCAAGCCACATATGCCATCCAAAAACCGTTTTCACCAGCCACGATTGAAACCGATGATGCAAGTATGATATGCGTTGCCACCCACAAGCCATAATGAATAGGGTGGCCCCACCAAAGCACAACGTCCAGAAACCGTTGCGTCATCAACACACTTCATTCAGCTTCACAGCAGATTACTACCCCTAAACAACGTAACCTGGTCAAAACTAGCAAAACTAGGAAGCTCC